TATATATATATATATATATATATAATATATATATATATATATATATATATATATATATATATATATATATATATATACACTTTACGTTTTATAAATATAGATACTAATTTGAATTCAAAGTATTCATATACTAACTGTACACAATTAATACATTTTCCTTATTTAGTTTGTTGTAATTAAACTTGTATTACTGTATAAATAGAAAAATAATAATATTTAAAGAATTAATACAGCTAGAAAAAGATATAAATTGTATTCATTTTTTATAAATAACATACTTGTAGCTATTGAACTTTGATAAATCCTATAAATGTAGTCATTTTTATAATTTGCTGATTAATGAATGTATACAGAAATTTGGGCGGAGTAAGACAGGATTAAGGAGATTCTTTTAAATTTTCTTAAGCAGAACATTATAAGAGTAATCCTCATCGGAGTATAGCATGACGAAAGAGGAAGAAAAGAAAGATTACTATCTAAAAAAGAAGTTGACGAATTACTAATAACCCTCGTATAGAATTTATCAATGACTAAGTAATCAAACATGTTAGTAATTAATATGACTTGTAGCGAGCGTTTAGATCTCTCTTTCTTAATCATATGTTTCAAATTCAATCCCATAAATGAAAAAAATCAGTTAGGAAAGTCCCCTCTAAAAATGTGCCCAGTCGTGTGTGAATTCAAATTTTATTTAAGCCTATTACTAATATCAAACATCATGTTGGAAGCAAAAAAGACCACGATCCTCAAAATGAAGTGTAATACACACATATCGAATTAAATATCGAACACCTGATAATAGACTCGTAAACTAATTTAAAAAGTAGAAAAGAAAGTCCCTGAAATAACCACCCCTATCCGTTAAAATTTGTCAAAACACTTTTTGCTTGGACAGTGAACACAATCCTGAGTTCTCCCTTATCAACAATGGCGTCTCTACTCTCCATCTCCTCTGCATCACCTACAAGAACAAATTCAATCATTACCCAGTTTTCTTCATCATTCAAGGTACAATTTCTCCTCTTTAATTTTTCAATTTCTGTCAAAATTATACAATTCTCATTTATCCCCATCAATTTTTTTCAGGGTAATGTAAGTAATTTGAAGTCAAGTTCGAAGCTTTTGCCTTTAATAAAGGTCTGCAATTTGAAATCTAAGTCAATAACAAGAACCCCATTTGTTGTTTTCAACCAAACTGCAAGTTTTGGTGCTGATTCTGCAACTGGGAGTGTTCGTTTTCGGCTTAATAACTTGGGTCCTCAACCTGGGGCTACCAAGAATAGGAAGAGGAAAGGTAGAGGGCATTCAGCTGGACAAGGGGGTAGTTGTGGTTTTGGTATGAGAGGTCAAAAATCAAGGTCTGGACCTGGAGTTAGAAAGGGGTTTGAAGGGGGTCAAATGCCTCTCTATAGGAGACTTCCTAAGTTGAGAGGAATTGCTGGAGGTAATTTGTTAACATTGCTTCAACATAATTATATTATCACAGGGGTCGTTTGGTACAAGGGATAAGAGATAATAATCTCGGGATAAAATGTTGGATTGCCTTTGGTTAGGGGTATTAGTTAGTCCCTGAATATCTATCTTGTCATTTTTATAAGATAATGATAGGATAAGTTATCTCATATATATATGGCGGGATAACTAATTCCTCGGGATATACTAATCAATGGGATAACTTTGTCTATCTCATCCCTAGTACCAAATGACCCCTTAGTTTGAGTTGGATTTTGTTTTTCCTTGTTTTGTTGTTTGTTTCTGTGTCCATCTGCAGTGTTATAGTTTACCATTTAAAAGTCTATGGATAAGTGTTATAAAATTTATAGCTTTAACTTGACTATGTGTTCTTTTTTATATTTGTGTTCGGGGCACCTTGCATGCAGTAGTGTTGTCAAAGCTGTGCATAAGCGAGGTTCAAAATGTGTTGAGCGCTTTGTCTTGCTTAATGTGCTCTTCAGGGTCGTCATCAAGTTTCTTAGGCATTCTTTTGAGTCTCTTTAGGCAACACTAAACAATTGATATTTCACTTAATAGTAAAAAAAATAATTTCTTTGTTCATATATTTGTCATTCATGCTTACAATTATTATTCTTAGACTAAACAAACATATGTATTTGTATTTCTCCCTTTGCTCCTTTTTATATTAAAGATCATGCTTTATTCACGTTTTATGCTTAGTCCCAATGGTCCTCAGAGTTTTTTTGATTTGATAACACTGTCATGTACTTAATTCCACGGGTACCTGCTTCTTCCTGCCAACACTTGTGTTGGATATTCCTTTGCTACTTCATTCCTCAACTAATGGAATACAAACTCTTTTTTCTGCCCTGCCTGGTGTCATCCATCTCCAAATAGTAAATGCGCTGCTGAGCGGATAACTCTATCCAGAAAGGCTTGGATAAATGAATATTGAACAGGAGACATTATGGTTCTCAACCAACTCCATTAACAACTACGCCACTCACTTGGGTGCACTGTGTGTATCTTTGTTTACAAGCATGTTTGTTTTTCTTTTGGTTGTGTCATTGCAGAGGCAGATTTTCATAGGATGATAAAAAGTCTTATCTGCATCTGGTGGACATATGTGTATGCATACTCAAACTGTACTGATGATTAATCTAAAGAAATTTATTACAAATGATCAATATATTGCACTAAGAAATAAAGCTATGCATAGTTATATGACATCAAGGCAAATATCTTGAAATTCTTATTTTCTTATTTGCAATATTCTGAAATCCTCAACATTTTTATCTTCCTCTATAATCCGAAGACTGTTACCCCCTTATTTAAACTAAAAGGAAAGCCTTGATCGATATGAGAGAAATGTGCTCAAGCATCCAACCAGGTGTAACGTCTGTCAAGAAGTTTCTTACTGCAAAATGAACATTCTAGGAGCTCTCACTCGAACAAATGCTCCTTATGCCATCATAAACCGAATCAGCGGATATAAAATCTGTCCTTTCCTAACCTTCCCCTAGCAGGAAACTTATTTTAAAAGGAGGAGGATTTGGAAAGTTCATACTAAGGAGGTAAAAAGGCCCTCGAGTCAAAGGGCTATTCTTCCTTTGATTTGAAGAGAATGTCAGTGCCTTGACTCTCTAGTCTCAGTGTGGCTCTTGAGTAGTCTTCACTTTCCCTTATGCATGGCGTTTGATTAAGTATTTTCTTCAATGTCAAGTTGTTGGTATTACTAAGATGATTCATAACTGTCCTTTATTTTTGGCGTAACTTGTATCCATTCGCATTATATAATGCTGAACCTTGATACTCACACCTAGAGTTGTGTGTCAAAAAATAAGTTCTTACTTTTCTTAGGCCTTTCATACTGATTAGGCCTTGCCATGTCTAATTTTTATAACTTTGACTATTTTAGGCTATTCTAACTTAATAACTGAAGTAATTGATAGTGCTCTTTGTAAAACCTCCAATCTCGTCTTTTAATTTGTTTCATTATGTGTTTTGTTGATTTAGTTAAGGATTTCCCTCAAGTCAGGCTAATCTGTCAAAAGCAATTATCTACTACATGTTTACCACCTTTGCCACCCGTTCCTTGTATACTCAATATTGCTGACTATCAATTTCATTGACCGGTTAATGCATGAAATATAAATAAAGGACCATATTGATTAGCAGAAGTTTCTGAAGGGACAAACTTGTAAGATGAAGTTCACTTTGATTCTCAACCTATCTGATCAACCAACTTTACCCCTTCACAAAAAAGGGGGGTGGAGGAATTTGTCTGATATGTTACATATATGACTGATTGCGTCATAAGGTAGCTTAATTCAAGGTTCTGGAGCTGTAACATTTACTTCTTTACTAGTCAGTTTCTCATCGATTATTGTTATCACATTTTTAGCCTAAGAAATGTGAACTGTTACTTGCCATTTTCTGTAATGATGGTTTCTGTGTGGGACTTCTAGTACCGATAAGCTATGTAGATTTGTCGAATGAGCCAAGTGCTGCATAGTTTGGGTTGCTTATTTCTTTCTGATGTTTTTCCACTCAGGAAAGTTATATCCTTGTTGCCCTTTGAAACTAATTTTTGCACCTTCGATGCTAAAGATTTTGATAAAACTATGAACTGAAAAGTTTATCAAAATATCTAACGAAAAGAAAAACATTCTTTCTCTACTGCTGCTGGTGCTACAATGGCATAGAGTTCTTCCCTGTTTCAAATTTCAGTTTATCAAATATAAAATTCATTAATGTAAGCTCTTTAGTTTACTCCGTGTAGAGTGTCAGATTAATGAAGTACAGTACTCTACTGTTATATATGCATATGTTATGTTGACATTAAGCTAATCTGAGCAAATCAATAATATAAAGGCATGCATGCTGGACTTCCCAAATATGTACCTGTGAACTTGAAGGACATAGAAGAGGCAGGATTTCAAGAAGGGGAAGAGGTTTCACTTGAGTCCCTCAAGCAAAAGGGTTTAATAAATCCTTCAGGGAGAGAAAGGAGACTTCCACTTAAGGTACAATTATATTTATCTTTATTGCATGTTGGTTCCTCAAAGAATCGTAGTCAGTTAATCAGTGAATGCTTATTTACTTGCTCAATCACTTGATCAACTAAATGAACTAATCTGGAAAGTTAGAATTACACTACACCATGAATATTTGCACTCGATGAAGTTGCATTTTCCTGGAAAAAAAAAGGAGGACGAAGAAGACACGAAGCTGCTATTGTGAGATGAGTTTTCTGATAGCATAAAGAATAATGTTAGCATTATTGTCCTGGTTAGTATCTTGACAGGAGATTGATCGATAAAGTTTATTGGGGTATGACGCTTTATGCTTGATATGATGCTTGAGAATGTTAGTCAGCATATGAGACTGACCCTGTGCATTCTGTTTTGGTTGTGTCTTCACTCTTCACCTTAGGGCTATTAACTTAAAGTAGTAAAAGGAATTCTTCACATTGAAAAGCTAAAGTGTCTTCAACTTACCATTGTTTTGTTCATCTCACTTAATTGGGTACATCAAGGCTGTTAAACATACTCTTTTTGTATAGGTATGTATGTAACTAAACAATAAACAAATGTTCATTTATGTAGGTCACATATGTATCATGAATTCAAGAACTATCTACCTAATGCTGTCACTGCTTACAAACACCAGGAAATAACAATTTGCTCTTTAAATATATGAAATATTACACCTTTTTAAATGGAAAACAGAAACAAGAATTTATCCTGTTCATTTCGAAATGACACTTAAAAAAGAAGAAATTATTACAATATGGAGTAGCATATTCCTAGAGTCATGGGTTAATATAAATAGATAATGGTGTAGTGCTTTCTTAATGTAAACTAACTATAAAAGAACAAAGAATATATGTTATAAGTCCGTTGAACAATATGGTATAGTTGAGATTCCTGTTATTGGTTCTTCATTCCTAGATGGTGTCTGTCCCAGTTGGTTCGCCTAGCTGAAGAGAAAATGGGGTATTGATGCTTTCCAAATAGTCTATTTCTTAACTTGACTTGTGATTCCACCAAGAATAAGCTCTTAGACTTAGTCATATGCTTCTTTTTCCTTTTTAATGACAAATATAGTCATAAAATTCGTCATATTGAAAACAATTACTAAATCACCTCGTTGCCCGGATTTTGGAAGATAGTATTGTATACTTTATTTGACTGCCACAATTGGTTTTTGCTGTTTGCTGTTTTGGCTTTTCTTCTCAAGCGAAATCCATCCCTTGTTTATTGTTTTATAAGTGTGGTATTCGCGCCAGGTTGGTGCACCTTAACTAATTGCACGGGATACCTGCTCTTGACATATGAGAAGAAATCACCTCATTTAAGAAAGCGTTTGTGCGAAAAATAAACCATTACGCTAGAAATAGCTTATGGTTTGGATTGACGCTTATATAATTATATAATATTGATTGAAACTGCTAAGGTGACAAGTATGTATTGCCGAATGTGTATGAACATCTAGTTCATAATGAATTGACAAGTTTTCCGTTGCCTGTTCCTAGTACTAACTCATCGATGCATACTTCATTCTCTCTCCCGCTTATATGATGTGGAATATGGTTGTAGAAATTGTCTGGATATATCATCCCAAGTCATTATAAGCGAACTTTTTTTAGCCCATGCAGCTACTATGTCCTGGAATTTGGTTTAATGTCCAAGTGACCAACCATGCATGAATCTGAAAGCCCTCCTGTCAAGTTCAACTCCCCGAAAGTTGATTAAATAACAAACTATGATGATTCTTAGGTTGTATCGCCTATCTGTATTAACTTCTATGATATCTCCATTTCCAGATCTTAGGCGATGGTGAGCTAAGCGTGAAACTCAACTTCAAAGCCCGCGCTTTTTCAACGTCAGCCAAGGAGAAACTAGAGGCTGCTGGTTGCTCATTGACTGTTCTACCAGGCAGAAAGAAATGGGTAAAACCATCAGTTGCCAAGAACCTTGCTAGAGCTGAGGAATATTTTGCAAAGAAAAGAGCAGCTGCAGCTGAATCAGCTGACCCCTCTGCTGCTTAAGTCAAAAACTTATGTTAGCCACACAATTTTTTTTTGTTTGATGTTTTCTCTCTAAGAAAGGGATGTAAAGCAACATTCAAAAAGTTTTGGATTCTTTTCTCTTTTAAGTCTTCCTTATTTTTCTTTTATTCTGGTATCAGACTATGATAATTTGTTTTAATTCAAGCATTACATTTGAGCGTGCTCTCGTGGCCAATGAAGTGGTTGTATACCTCGGATGTATACCAAGATTCAAATGCCAGTAGAAACAAAAATGAGAAATTAACATAAATTGTTGTCCACCCAAAAGTTTTTTGGGGTTAAGCAGTGAAATATATAACTTCCCTAACCAGCAAAATTAGTTAATTTCTTGTGGACGTCTGTTAAGACGTTTAGCTATGGAGATAGTTGGCCCTAACAGTCAAAACAGCGTATTTTCAAGGTCAAATAATCTCCAGAGCAGGTAAACTTCCATTTTGCCGAATTTCGTGTGCTATAGTCCATGATTTTTGGTGATGTGGAATTTCGACGTTATTTTTGTCCAAATTATTCATTAACGTCCATTAAGACATTAGCTATGAAGATAGTTGCCCCTGAATGCCAAAACAGACATTTTCAAGGTCACATGAGCCCCAGAGCAAGTAAATCCCTCATTTTGTTGATTTTCGTGTGCTATATAAATAATCATCTTTTTTGGTGATCCAGAATTTCAACGTCATTTTTTTTGAAAATTTACATGGACGTCCGGTAAGACCTTAGTTATGGAGCAAGTTAGTTACCACGACCAAAACGACCAATTTTAGAGGTCAAACGAGCCCCAGAGCATGTAAACCCCCCATTTTGTCAATTTTCATGTGCTATAGTCCATCATCTTTTTGGTGATCCAGAATTCTGATGTTATTTTTTTCATAAATTTACATGGACGTCCATTAAGACCTTAGGTATGGAGCCAGTGGTCACCATGACAAAAACAACCTAGTTTAGAGGCCAAATGAGCCCCTGAGCAGGTAGGCCCAATTTTTTGTGGAGATCTGTTAAGACTTTAGCTATGGAGACAGTTGGACGGACGGCCAAAACGGTTCATTTTCAAAGTTAAACGAGCCACGAAACACGTAAATCCCCCATTTGCTGATTTTCGTGTGATGATTAACAAGTAGAGTTACACGATACTTATGTTAGTGAGAGGTAGTAGATATTTCATTATGTACATAGATCTTATTCTATCTTGTGATGGTATGAAGGATTGTTTCCAATAGACCCTCGATTGAGGAAAAGATGAAAATGAATCAGTAACAACAATAAGATAATATGATTAACAAAGTAAATCAAACAATTAACTAGTACTTACTAGAGGTTCAAAAATAGCAAATGCAAAAAAATGGTTAACTTCTGATTTTGCTTTTCTAAATTGAAATGACCAGACCTAAGCCTGACAAGTCAAACATCTTACTTTCCACACCGAAAGATTTCTTCAAGAAGATTATAGTCTAAAATCTCGATATTCAATAAAACATGCTAGTTAAATTCTTTCCAATTGCATATGTCTTGATGGGCAGAATTACACGATATGCTAATATAAGATAAACGGTATCCAACAGTCAAGATACATTCAAACTGAACTCGAAACCTATCATATATATATATATGAATTATAATAATTTGTTATATTCAATGTAGGCATGGTCCAGATGGTAGGTACTGGTGAAAATGCAACTTCTCAAACTTAGAGAATATATTAATTTAATATAACAGTACTCAAAATAGAAGTAGTTTTCTGACTGTTGCTATCACAACTTTATTTTTCATATTGTTTTAAATATATTATCTTTGCTTAGATGCAATGCACATGCCTTAATTTTTAGAATTTACTTTAAATTACCAATTGACAGAACACCTTTGATTTGGAAACTAATTATTCATAATTGAGAAAAGGACAAATAAAATTTTCATTTTCTAATCATCAATTGGTTTTCTTTTATTTAGACCAAAAAATACCATCTAAAGAGAAAAGGTTAATTAATTAGTTCATGCATCTGGAGGAAATAACAGAACCCAAAAAAAAAACTCAAGGTATGGTCAATTGTAAAACTATTGATGCATAATTTACTACTTAAATCTTATTATCTTCCTACATGAGATTGTTTTCGCACTTGCTTCAAATATCTGTCATGTAAATAATTATAATGTTATCTGAAATAAATCTTTGATTTTAACGATATAAAAAAAATTAAGTTTTTAGTCTTTGAATTCCGAAGAAAGGCTTTTTTAGTGAAATTTTACATGATTTTTAAGAGGTAAATTGCTTTTAAAGCAACAAAATTATATTACATCATGTCATTTGATTATCCTCAAGGGTAAAGAAAGATAATGTCTTTTAGTTACAATTATAGTGTTTTTCTCTTTTCCCTACACCACAAGAAAGTTTGTTAGGACATTATAGGCATGCCCACCCAAGATTTTCAAGGGACATAATTTTGTAGTGGCCAAACTTTGATATTCATATCTAACTTATTATTAAATTAAATAAATATAGGAATTGTATAATGCAAACTATTAAGTAGACTTTTTTGAACCCTACAAGAAAAGAGGAAATGGAGCCAAACTTATTGTTTGCATTGTTAAGGAAATTAAGCATGACTCAAAGGCAATAGCATGTGATCATTACTATGATAAGTTTTTTTCTTTCACCTAATGAAAAACATCAAAGAGACAAGCAAATATGTCTCCTTTTATTATCAAATTCACTTATTTAATCATTGGAATTTTCTTTTTGTCATGAAAGCCTTTTTAGAAAAAATAAAAATAATTATGGTATTAAAAATAAGCGTGTGCACACCTCGATAAATTTTATGAAGTATCTGTTATCTCTTATCAACACTTGTTGCACAGGTACCATGTAGTTTTGTTCATCAAGACTTGGACAAATAGAAACAAATCACGTGATATTATTGTGTAGCCTAAACTTTGAATATGAAAATAAAGAATTCTCAATGTACTTCATTAAATATTAGGTTAATTATAGTCCAAAACTTTTCTTAATTCCTATTCACCTTATTAGAATGGTGTTTCAATATATAGGTACACATATTAATATTGTTATAATTTTAAGTTAGATGTTATATTTATTAGCTAATAGAGAAATTGGTACATCCAAGCTAAGCTCAAAATTGAATAGATAAATAATTTTTAATTATTAAAATGTGTTAAATTGTATATATTAATTATTATTATTATTAGAATGATGTCAATGCATTATATTTTTTTGTTGACAATTACTTCCGATTCATAATAGTTCACAAATCACATAATATATAACATATAATTGCACTTGAGAAATGTCATGTGATAGTTGATAAACTCAATCATACGATATGTATAAGATTTAAAATATGAGATCTCTATTTAAAAGATCATTTGCTCAATCAACTTAATTATTTTTATATTTTCTCTTATTTTTCAAAGATATTTGTCTTATTTAGTCAAGCTAATTAAGACTAAACATAGATTTTTATTTAATCAAAATTTTGTTGGGGTTAAGTGATATAGTAGGACTAAGTTTTCTTGTGTTTCTTTTTTTCTTTTATCTGGTTGGCATTAAGTATATCATGGTTTATCATTGAAAATAACGATGATAATGGACCTAACATTTAAAAATAAATTAAACGTGGAAAAAAATCACTACACTAAAATTTAAACGTCTTGGCAAATTCTTTCTTACTTTAGATTAGATTGATAGTTCAAAAACAAATCGTCCACGTTAATTAAGATTAGACAAGAAAGAAAATTCAAACGTAATATGAATATGAATTGAATTCTAATTAACTTTATCAATAATAAGCCACGTTTGTTTATCCACGACCTTAATTAAGAGGGTCGTTGTCTCGAATGTAGTCCTACTCAATATAAATTCAGATTAATTAGATTCTAATACAAATACTGCATATCTAATGAAAAATTTAAAAAAAAATTTATAGATATAAATTCTACAAAATAGTAACATACTAATTTTTAAGTTATGAATTTCTCTAAATTCCTTCGTTCATAACAAAGGTCTCGATTTCAAGTGATCCACTTTATTAGAGATCGATGAGATAATTATGTCAAAGAAAAATATAAGAATATGCTAAGTATATTTAGTGTAATACGAACAAAGAATTGAATAGAAGGAGCCTAATTAACCAGTCCTTTTTTACTCCCGTTGAAGGATAGAATTTAAATTAAACGTGAAACTTTTCGACACGAATAATCGAAATAGTTGCAGATCCTATGGACCACTCACATTCCACAAGAACCCAAAAAATGAGTGCTGGAAAATGCAATTTGCTAAGAATGATGACTAGGTATTTTATCTCTTCTTATTGTTATTTGCTGCCATCTGTAATAAGTACTTGTTTTTTTCAATAATAAAAGGCAAGAGAACATGTTCTTTAAGCTTTTTGGAGGGCTCCCCACAAATCTCATTCTGATTTACTTCCAAAATACTTCACTATAGGGTCCCATTATTTCTCATTAAACTCACTATGTTGAGATAATTAAATTGGCTTTGGCTAAAAGTGGATAATATTATAATATTTTAAATAGTATTTATGGATCTATTTTAGTTTAAATATTCGATAATTAGTATCAGAATTAACGATTTAACAAGATGTGTATAAATGTTTAGTGTCTTTGCTCGTCTATTAGCGGGTTTAATCCTTCTATTTATAGATTTGGAGAGTCGTATCCACAAAGAAGATAATGGATATTGATGACTATAAATATACAAGTCAAAAAGGCGGAGAGTTAATTTTTATATAAACGTATAATGTAATAAATTCTGTTAAATATAATCAGAGATGAAGATTATTAGATGCGCCAATAATAATGATAGTTATTAAAAAGAAAAAAAAAGAAAAAAGAAGAAGCTATATTTAAAATACTATAATATATTCTTAATAATGTTATGGCTCTTTAGAGAAAATTAGTTTATCCTAAGATGGACAATATTGCTTAAACACTTCTTTTTAGGGACTTTTGGCTGTTTTTGGACAGTTTTTGAAAGATTTTTTTATTAACATTTTTTTAGAAAAATATTGTAGAGATTTTAAAAAATTTCAAGAATGAAGTCGTTATATTTATTCTACTATTTGTTCATCTTTTTCAATCAAATGACTCTTGATAGAATAAAGAGTGTGCAAATTTAAAAGGTCAACTTTCACATATAACA